CTGTGGCCACGGTGTTAGCTTACCACCACTGGTCCATGTGCGGTTTATGTATAGTGTATTTGTAGCATATTGAATGACCAAAAAAGCAAAATATAAAAGTGCCTGGATCTTTCTACTTTATTTCAGGTCCCTAAAGCTCATGTCCACTTACATTATCTGTGAACGGGAAATTGTTCGAAAAACAGCAGTTGGTTGGTCTGCAGTCAATTTGTCCCTATATCACCAGACACCATGCTATACCCTGCTTTATACTCTTACCGAAGAAAATGTTTTCAGACTTTAGAGTTGGATTTGTGTCGTTAGAAACCTCACTATTTGTTTTACTTTAAAGGGTCCCAAAACTTTGATTAGAATTTTCTTTCCAAACTTTTCAATAATTTGTTGTTGAGAAATTGAAATTGTCGCTGAAACAAGCATGGCCTCACATTCCAAATCTGCTCACAATCTTCCTTTTCCTCAACTCAGACCAATCATTTTAGCTTGGGGTTTCTGGAGGTAGACAATTTGTCTTTCAAAACTATATACTTCTTATGTGGACCAGTTCATGAAGGCTGCATTGGGTCCCTCAACCCCAGCTTGGACACCCCTGATAAAGCTACTGCAGATTGGATTTCAGGGAGGGAGGAGGGAGGAGGGAGGAGGCGGCAGATGCTGACACGCAGGGGAAACTTGAGGACAAGCCATAGAAGCGCGGCTCTGACTCAGCTGTAGTGCACACAGGCAGATTTAGCGACTCAACACTGCCCCCTGGAGGTGGAACTGCGGCACTGGGTTACATCACACAAGAGGCCCGTCGCTTATGTAATGTAGGGCGGCTATAAGGGATGCGTGAGTGATGGTTATAAATAGCCTGTTTTATTATTGTATAGCAGGAGATTGTGAGCAGGAGTTCTATTTTGAGTGATTCCTTTTTATTTTTTACTGTAGCCATACAGTTTGATCTTTAATATCTATAGCTTTTAATTGAAAGTTTATATTTATATTGAATAGGCTTTGTGCATTATAGTTTTATATGTTTTAACATGGTCTGGTGCTATGTGTACTGGGTGCAGCCCTGCCTGCCACCCCCCTGACACAGAAATGGATTAAGGGGAAGAAAATGGATGGATGGATGGATGTTTTAACGTGGTGACCTGTTTTAGTGAAATGGTCCCATACCTGCTTCTTCAGTTCAGTTCAGTTTATTTATCATTAGGGCAGAAGTAAAAAAATCGTGCGCCCATTGCATGTTCATGATACAATACAAGATACACGATACCATGACATATTTCAATGAATTAAAATGTTTTGATAGTCAACAGAATCCTTCAGTTCGGTATCTGTGTTTTCTTAAATACAAAATAGAATTACATATTTTCATCTCTCTGCTGAGATAGTTCCACAACTGAGGCCCATGAAACGACAGACATCTCGGAGTCAGTGATTTTCTAACTTTTAGTAAAATAAATTTACTGTAATCTCTTAAACTATATCTAGTTTTTTCTTCTGGAAGCACATTTGTTTTTGCCTTAAACATGATTTGAAGTATTTTATAGTTAACAACGTCTTTAAATTTCATAATATTTGTTTCTAGAAAAAAAATGATTTGTATGATCATAATGTAATAATATTTGTGATAATGCTATAGAGTTGATTATTAAAAGTAGCTCCACACAATATGTCATATAGGAAAGAATCAAGGTACAGTAGATTATATAAAATGCCTCATCGGTGAGTAAGTCTCACCGATGATGAAACTTGTGATATGCTAATGTTTTGCACAGAAACTTCTTGGTCACTTCTTACAACCCTCGATTAAAGATTATTTATGGTCTTCTTATTGATTTTCTTTAGAGTGAGAAGAGTGTAAAGAACATTTTCAAAAACAAGGAAATAATTGCTGACTCGAAATGTAAACTTTCTGAGATTCTGGGGTTGATTTTGGTGTTGATGTTAGTGTTCTCTTTTTAACGTTTTACCCAAATAAATGACATTCAATGAATTATATTTCGGGCATCTACATTTTCAGTGCCATAAAATGTTCAAAAAACTATGTCAGTTCCATTTTCATTCACAATTTGCTCAGTTAGTGTGACTGAGGATGTGTCCAACAATGTTTAATTCATAATGAGGATATACAGTGCATGCTAAAAATATGTTCATGTGTTTCAGAAAGATAAACGGGAGAAGAACAGTTGTCATAGTGATAAACAACCCCAGACAGGATTCATCTTTTGAATGGGAAAATGTCTCCAGAAACAGAGGCTGAGACCCGTGAGTAGTGGACCAAGACGTGAGACCCAACAGCTTGATGTCTGGGAAATGCAAATATCTCTATCATGTTTGAGTTTGTCAGAATATAATAAAACATAATTTTCATCTTTGAATAATTCATTTCTCACAAGTGGTTTATCCTCTTTTTTAAAAGCCCTTTCTGTGAATATGGTTTGAATAAATTATTTAGAATAACGAATGGAAGAGAAACAAGATTGGTTCCATCATCAACAACCTGCATTCCTTCTGTTTGGCTGCTTTGCCTATGGGTGTAGTAAATTATATGGACAGGGTGTTGCTGCTTAAACTCAACTCTTTGATTCTCTGATCTGTTGTTGGCAAATCGACAACTCCAAGATAGCTACTGTTTTGATTTAGGGCTATACATAAATGCATTGAATCGAAGCTTTCACAACGGTTGACTTTTTTGGGGAATTTAGGTTCTCTTGTCATCCTGAAATGTTTAATTTATTTGGAAAAACTGAGGACTGCAGATGGAAACTAGCTTGTAGCTTTAATAATCTGATGTAGAATGTATCTGTTTTTGAGCCTAATGTCGCCCTCTCAAACAAAGACCAAACTAAAACATACAAGCAACATGGCATGTACGCACAGCGGTGATATTTTTGTGTTTGTGTGTTATTTTTTAAGGTTGTGACACACCTCATCACACTTTATACAATTATTTTTACCCAGCATTTATATACTGAAAGACATTAATATTGTTATATTCAAACTCATTTTGTGATCATTTGTGGCCATATCCCCCAGCCTCAATTTGTGGAATAGTGACTCTTCTCGCCGTAAGATTTCATCCCTCTGTTATAAAAGTAACATTTATTTAGATTTTTTCTTTGAATCTTTCATCAAATATGATTTTCTGAGGTGGTCTCTTCATTTAGATACAACACTACAAAACAGATCAAGATACAAGATAACTTTATTGTTCAAATCATTGGATGACAAAACATCTAGATTAAGTGATTTACGTCCTAAAACCAGGTCTAGAAAAAGTGAATGTTCAAATTCTACTTTAAAAACCAATACCAAGTCTTGACGTGCAAACTGTACCGGCTCCAACAAAGGCCTCAATACTGGAAAGAAAGTAAACCTAAAAAAACAGGTAAAATCAGGTTAAAAAGTACATGACTTTTAGAGGAAACACGAAGACATTGTCAGGAAGATAGTAATTACGTTGCAGTACCTAACTTCCTTGCTTCATAAAAATACCTGTTGTTTTACCTGACAGTCATGTAAATAATCCTCTCATTAGTAAAAGTTCTTCATACCTGTGAGAAAGACCACTGTGAGTCTCTACTCGACACTTTGGGTGGAACAGGAGAAAAACATGCAAGTGAAAACTAGTGATAGAACCAGAGTTTTGAGAGAAATAGTTAGGTGGATTTTATTAAATTGTTCCAGTTTTGTGGTTTGAAAGTTATGTACCTCAGCTTTAGGCAGTTAATTAAATAAAGTTTTGACTGAAAAACGTTTTGTCTTGTCACAAGCGCAGTGCCACAAACATTTTCTTGTGACTTAATTCAATGTCTTTCTATTTACCGGCCTATCATAAAACCTACAGTGAGAATGTACATTATAAAAGCCAAATCCTGGGACATTCAAAGCAATAACATCGCCATGGAAACAGCTTTTTTTCCCACTGCTTAGATGATGCCTTTGGAAAATACAACTTATAAGAATGTACAGTAATTGAACATTTGACGACTAAATGTGCGTTGTCTGTCAAAAAAAACCCTGAAAAAATAGGAGCGATCTTTGAGGCAAGTCAAATATGAAAGGGGCATGAAATAAAAAAGAATGATTGCCAGATTTTATTAAAGCATTTTGTCAACTGTATCGAAGCAACAAAACATTAAAGAAAAATGACAAGAGCCGATGAGCAAAACTGCATGAAATATACATTTAAGCTTTAACCCTTTAGATGCCAAAGCAGCTGCAGAAAGTTCTAGAGACTGTCCTGTGACTTCCCACAAAGGTTTTCCTACCACAAATATTTGGCCTTTTTAATGTGTGGCCAAATACCTTCTTGTTACTAGTCTTCATCCATCTCTTATACACTTTCTCGACTTTTTGATCTCATCTGATTTCTCACAAAAACTCTAGCGCCTCAAGTGTTGGAATAGTTAGAAAAGTTTTGCAATGTTCTGTTAGATTAAGCACTTGAGTTTAGTATTGCCTTGTTTTTATTCTATAACATGTTTACCTTCAGCGCTTGGCAAACTACAGATGCGCTACATGTAGACGGCTTTAACAAAAATTCACTGGTTTTAAATTAATGTTGCAAATACGTTTTTTTCTGTCCTTTTTGAAAAGCTTGTGTCCGCGGCTCCTCCCGTCATCCGCTGTGCAAACACGTCATTCCTCTCCGTCCTTAACGTCTTAAAACTTGTAGTGATCCATTTGTTTTTCTGTTAGCAAAACGAGTTCTTTAAAAAACCGGGGCTGGTGGACAGTGCTCTCCATCAACGTGACGAGTGAAGAGGCTTTCTGAGACTCCCCCGGTTTGCACGTGGACAGGGCAAACCGCTGCGAGAAAGAGAGCGGAGGCTTGAACCAAAACAGAAAAATAGAAGGAAAAAATATCCTCGGTGCCGTTTTCGGACACTTCTCCCGCTTTTCCCGCTGTAATCGCTGTGTAATTATGCAATCGCTTTGATAATTATACACCGGCCAATTGCACAGAAATTACAGAAACCGGAGAAAGTAAGTTTGAATTCCATCCTCTCTTAAAAGACCGAGATGAGGGCGAACACTCCGTACAACAGAGCGCAGGGGTAGGCCACTAAGAGCTGCTGTCCGTCCATCGCCAGAGCAGAGATGAAGATCTTTGAAGCCGAGAGACTGCACCAGCCGATGATGGATGCAGTTATGATGACTCCCATCAGTCCTCTGGAGACGAAAGGGAAAGAAGAATGAGATTAGACTTTGTCCTCAAAACCTCTGGGAAATTAATTAGCGACATTTCGAGCGAGTAACAATCTCTTTGGTGAACAAGCCCTGAAGAAGAAGGCCGTATGTGGCTAACACGAGTAGTCTATGTTCATTAAAGGATCTTTATTTACTCTCTTTTCTAACATATTGAATTTGTTTGAAGTTCCTAAAAAGAGTTGCCATCGAGGAATGTATGGTAATGAGTGTCAATCATAACAGAGAAATGGATATGTGATGTCTATGTAAATGTGTGGTACAAGGGGGAGCTTGCAGTGTATTTTTTTATGTACTCACAGATTTAACAGTTGGCTTATATAAATCATTAGTGCTGTCCAACGATTAAAATATTTAATCGTGATTAATCGCATGAATTTCATAGTTCGTAATCGCAAATTAGTCACACATTTGTATCTATTCTTTATGTCCCTTGAATTAATTAAAATAAAATTAAAATAATAAAATAAAATTAATAATAATAATAAAATAAAATAAAAAATGAATTAATAAGTAGATAAATATAATAATAACATGAATAATATGTGCATATAATGATAATACACAAGTCAGGGTAAGCGAAAGCTTACTTTAATGCATGACACGTTTAGTTAAGAAAAACACTTGGGAAAAAGGAACAAAATAAGAGAGGGAATGGGCCGGGCGTGGGCTCCCTCCCCCCTTTTTGGGGTGGGGGCCTGCTTGGGGGTCTGTGTGTGTGTCGGATTTGGTTTTGATGTTGGCTGGGTTCCGCTTAGCTTGGTGAAACTCAGGCGGGCAGACTTTATATCTTATCTTATCTGTGGGGTGTATGTGTGTGTGTGTGTGGAGTGTGTGTGTTTATGGGTGTGGGTGTGTGTGTGTATGTGTGTGTGTGTGTATGTGTGGGTATAGACCATAGACTGTATAGAAACATCATGGTGTCATTATGATGATGATAAACAATCTGTAAATATTTTGTAAATTTGTTCATGTAAATACTCTATGCGGTTTCTCTGTTTACCTTCGGTATATCTATGACTGTATACTGTTTGCTTGTATTGCCTTTTTTATTAACCCCTCCCCCCATCTCCCACTTCATGTCCCCCCCCCCCTCCTATGTGCCCTTCTAAGTTTCTTCTTTGGCCCCCTGTATCTCCAACTACATATTGTTTGTAATCTCTGTCTACAATGTATCTGAACTAGTCCTAGTTCAAAACTAACTTTTTTTTTTTTTTAATCGCGCGATAAAAAAAATGACGCCGTTAATATTGATTTGCGTTAACGCGTTAATAACGCGATATTTTGGACAGCACTATAAATCATATATTGGGACTGCACTGAAGATAGAAATATGATAAACGCCTAGTGCTGAATTTAGATAAATGTGTACAGTATTTTTGTAAATATAAATGTGCACTCACTGTAGTGAAAAGAGGACTCCGAAGCTGGAGAGGACGATCATGGGCAGGAGGCAGTATCCCAGGACACTGGCCACGCAGCCGAAGGACACCCCCGTCATGCTCATCAGGTTCAGCAGGCAGTACATGGCTAAGCAGCCGATGGCACTGATGCCGTACACGTATCCAAACTGGATTTTACCCGACTGCGACGAGACAGAGAGTAAGTCACACTTTGTTTTCATGAATAACTTCAGAAGATAAGCAAAAGTAGTAAGTTACCAGGAGAAGCGTGGCTCCAAAGGCCAGACAGAAGACCATGGGTCCGGCCAGGTCAGTCTCGTTCATGATGCTGCCGTCCGCTGCCTTCAGCGGGTGTAACACGGTCAACGTCTTCTGCCAGATGTGGTCAAAGTTGATGCCTAATTCTACAAAACGTACACACATAACATTAAAATCAAAAGTCATTTAAACAGAAAATGAAATGAGACATATCCATAAGCTTTAAAAACAGCAGCATTAATCATTAATCTCTTTATGTACTGTACACATATCTCAGACAATTTGACAATGTTGATTCTTTGCTGCTTTACCTTCTAACAGCGGAGGTTCGTCGTCAAACGTGGAGTTGTACATGGACTGTGAGGCTGACGGAGTGTAGGTCTGTGTGGGCTGAAAGATCTGTCCTGTGTACGCCTGCTGCTGCATCATCCCCGGAGTAGAGTACGCGATGGGCTGAGAGTAGTTGTACTGTCTGCAAAATCCACACGAACAATTAAGTCATACAGGATAGTTTGTTTATCTTACGCGTCCAAGTAATACATCTGTGCTGGAACGTGTACACACCCAGAGATTTCCGTTACGTCACCCCCTTCACTCATTGTTAGTGGTTGTTTGAGGGGCGGCAGTGGCTCAGTTGGTAGAGCATTGGCCCTAGAGCCTGATGGTCGTGGGTTCGACCTATTTCACGACTCCCACTGATGACTGCTGTCCCCACTTTGCCTGAAGCCCCTGCTGAATAATCAAGGCTCCTGTGGACTCACTACCTGCTGGAGGATCAGTGAGGGGCTGGTGCTATATGTACTGAGTGCAGCTCTGACTGCCACCCCCCAACCCAGAAATGGATTAAGGGGAAGAAAATGGACGGATGGATGGTTGATCATCCATAAGGAGCGCCTTATGGACCTATAGCACTGATGTGTTTGTTAGTATTTCCTCTCCTCTTTGTAAAGTCCCGTGAGACGGCTGCATTTGTAATTTAGGGCTATGAAAAAAATACATTGAATTGAAAGAAATAAATTCAATTGAATTCAATGTTTTCCATTTACAGATTAAAACATCATGGAGCCACTCTGGGGAAATGTCGATTATGTGGTTCAAGCAAGGCAACCCAGGAATTTACAGGACCTGGAGGATTTTGGAACTGGACCGGGAGGACCTGGATATGATACAGAATCTACTACCACGAAAGACTCCAAGCTGTTATTGATGTTAAAGAAGCAACACAGGCTATTGAGAACTGGGCAATTGAAACATTATCAGGGTCAGGAGAGAAGTTTCTGTTGTCATGACAATTTGAAAAAAAGAAAACATAAAAAAAATAAAATAGAGAAAAACACACAAACATTTGTAATCTCCAAAAATATAACATTTCTCCCTGGGTGTGTAAACTTTCAAGCGGTATGATTTGCTAAATTTAATAATGAATAATATTTCATAGATGTTTTAAGTAAATATGCTCACTTGTTGTAGGGGTCATTGTTGCTGTAGTCGTAGCCCTGCTGGTTCGGGTCGTCCACGCTGTAGCTGGACTGGTAAAAGTCGTTGAAATTTTCAAATCCCGCCATTGCTCACCCTGTCAAAAACCTGGAAAATTTGAACAAACAGAAACACACGTTGAAGTATTATCAAGTAAAATCATATGGGTCTGATTTTTGGCAAAAAAATAATCATTTGTTGTGATAAACTTCTGCAGTAAGGATTTGCATATAATGTCTAGACTTTTGGATTCTCTTTAAAGGGCATATTCTAAACATGTACGGAAGCCCTGAGAAAGAAGTAGAAAATGTGTGTAAAAACATATTACAATGAACTCAAGAAGGCAGATCAGGTCCAATCTACAGCCCGTATCTAGACTGAATACAATTTTGTCTTCAAAACCACATAAATAATTTCAATATTTGTTATTTTTCAATAGTGGCCACAAAAAAATTCCTTTTAATGTTATTGCGATTCATTTGTAATACTCCCCAATAACTAAATATATACTTTCCACTCCAACAAATGTAACTAGAGGTAAACATACACTTTTTGTAATATTACTACAATGAAATGTATACAATTATCTTTCATTTGTGACGTTACTGCTATCATAACTACTACAGCACAGTTTGATATAATGCAAGAAGAATGACTTAATATTTACATTAAAGGACATTTGTGAACATTTATTAACATTTATGGACATTGGTCATCCGCTCCCTATGAACCAATGGCATGGTTTGTTATTATTGTATTGACGGTGCTCACCTACTTGTTTGTTTTGTGTGCTCCCTGTGTGCTCTTACTACTGTCCTATATGTGCGCTACAACATTGAAATTCCCTCACTGTATGACGAAGAGAAATCTTATCTTAAAAAATGATACAAACCTGAAATCGAACCTGCTATTCTTTACCTATGAAAAGACAACAAAGGGCAACACTGGCTTAAGCGAAAATATGGGTGTATTCCTAAGTAGCCAAGTTATGTTACAACCCCCAGGCTTCCAACTATCTAAGAATAGCTGAAGTAGACTTAGCAACATAAGATAAGATGTACTTTATTAATCTCACACAGGAGAAATTTACATGTCACATTGGCAAGGATAGGAACACTCAAGACTTGTGCAAAAGTAAGAAATGTGCAACATGTTAATGCAGGATACATTATGTACAAAAAAGTGGCAATCAAGAAAGAAGTGTCAATAGTAGTGCAGGTTTCTTTTCAGTCATAGTGCAGTGACTTAAAGTGACTTGTTGTACAGTCTGACAGCGATGGGGATAACATTGAATGCTTATACAAAACACAAACACATTGACATATACTCTATTTAAATATATTGTATACATGCTAAGGCAAAATAATAATAAGAAGAAATGCCATCACATACTACCACATCATTCAACAGCTGTAGCTAGCAGGGTGGCTAAAGTTCCCCGTTAATTAACAGGGCTATTATGTGCTAATGCTAATGCTAAGCTAATGCTACTTAAAGCTACACTTCACACAGTTTACAAAGCAGTAACGTATCCAGTGCAAAAGGGTTGACGTATTTTGAAAGTACTCTCTTCGGGAATACATGTATCTCCCTTGTTAAGACGGGGAGAGGGTTTTGCGGGTCTTACCGGTGGTGATTGACAAATGCTCCTTCGCTGTGCAGCTACGTGTCAGCGGCAGCTCAGCCTCACACTTCCCCCGAGAACAGGAAGCAGCGCAGAGGAGCGGGCCCTCTGGTGGTGGAGAGAGGAACTACAGCCAGCCTCATGCCACGTATGAGCTGAGCTGGCTGTGTGAGGCAAGTTATGGATGGAAACAAGATAAGAAAACAATCAGATAATAAAAATTAAACAGGTTTTGACACTTTGATCAGGTGAATCACAGGTTGTTTGTGACCAACATAGCAACAAAAACGCACACAACAAGAAGAGAGAGGAGCCAGGGATAATAATAGCAACAAATAATAATAATGTCAACAATGCTTTTTCTGTTTTTTGACAGATTGCTTGTTTATTGTTTGTTAAAGGGAACCTGTGACATACTATACAATAGGTATGTATACATAAATTATGTAAAGTGACAACATTTATTTTAATAAATACAGATTGAAGTACAGATAGAGATACAAAAGCCAAAAAAATAAAACATAGAAATAGACCAAGTGTCAAACAATCCCAATGAAGTAATCCTGAAAAGTGGAAATTGCAAGTTAGGGTACCTGAGAATGTAATAACATACATCTGCTTCGAGCTCTCAAAATGGTTTTTCTAACAGGCATGATTCTGTTGGTCTCTGGCAAACATTTAGATAATTTTTTATTCTGACAGGAAAATGCTCAGCCAATCAGATCTTTTCTTACTTTAAGGATGATCAAACTTCAAACTATCTTTCATCTGAATTGAAAAAAAAAAATCAGATTGAGGCATGTTGTGGTCTGGCACAAAAGTATTTCTTTTTTATACAGATGATATGGTTGCTCAACATCAGGTACCCCAGGCCCAGCTTTTCTACGAGCATAGTGTTGTTTTGATTTATCGCTTCTTTCCGACAGTGTATTACAGCACAATCTTAAACAACCTTTCACGCAATCTCCTTTCACTCAAAAGCCTTCACCACATTCACCCCTGTTTTACACGATGTATCGAGGAAATCTTTTCTGGATACCTCTTAGAATATTCAGAAAGACTAATAACTTTGCATCTTAAATTACTGCTGAACACATTTATGAAAACAAAATGTCCTTGCCTGCCTTTTTAATAAGTTTATATTAAGTAACCTTTTTACAGTGGTAAAAGTGCAGAGTAACCAAAACAAATGGATGTAACCTTTTCAACAAAATTCAATGTTCTGGCCTTATTTACTCTTGCTCTTGAAATCTATAAAATTGGAAATACTGTAAGCGCTAAGATTAATATTACAGGAAGACGCAATTACTACTCTTGGCACAAAATAATGGAATTTTTGAAGTACAAAATGTCATTACCAAATCGGTGGCTGCCTCACACGGATCATTTCTCGGAGTCATAAAACAAAATCAATTTAAAACAAACACAACACAAATTCTACTCCAAAGAGCCGTGACTAATCACAAGACAAAACAACTGTTCCTCATCCTCCTGCAGACTTTTAATCGTTTTCAAACTCAGAGGACATTTCTTCTTAATCCATAAGTGTCACACGGGCTAATTGAAATAAGGCCAGTGCACTGTCACAGCTGGTTTTTTAACACACTCTCAGGGCACATTCAAACTTATTGTTTAATGCGCAACTTTGAAAAATCCTATAATGCTTTTTGGCATGGGGGTGCGACCATAGAAGCTATAGACGTCCCAAGCTGAGTGAAGACTGCAGTGGGCGATGTAGATATATATCAGTCGTGAAAAGAAGCAAACAAACACCAATGGAAACCTCAATGATCACAGGCACACTTTCAACCCCGGCCTTAGTGTCATCCGTGCACTAATATTATGACCCAATTGTATCTTATTATTGTAATATCCATCATCCTTACATTTATAACATTTATGGACGTTTATCAACATTCGTCTCTATGTGTTTTTCATTTTATTTTTAACATTGCGTTTCTTGTGTTTGAACTGTTTGATTCTCTGATCTGTGTTGGCGAATTCACCGGTTTTGTTTACTCCTTCGAGATAACTACAGTTGTGATTTAGGGCTATACAAGAATAAATTGAATTGTTTAACGTGTGTATAATCTGAGTGCTCTTATTTATTCTTTTATTCTGCTGTAATATGCATAACTATGACATTGAAATTTCCCCACTGCGGGACAAATCAAGGTTTTTCTTATCTTATACAATTGTAATGATTGCCATCTACTGGTTGTTTGAAGAACTGCACCATTCAAATCATCGAGCACAGCTGTATTAGCTATGGCTAGCTCAAACCCATCTCCAGCATGTACGAGGGTTTTTTCTGCACATACAAATATTGACATCTGTGACACTGCAGCTTTAATTCACATGGGCTGTAAGGAGATGTTTCCCATAGAACTCAATCTTAACTAAAAGATTAAGATTAAGATGAAGAGATCTTTTTTTTTTGTCCCACAGTCGGGAATTTTAAAACGGCAGGAAAAAAAAAATCTTAGATACTTTAGTTTGTTGGAGGCAGAGTGAACTTAAACTGTTCAAGTACTAAACTTGTTTGTTAATTTCTCTCTTGTGTGTTTGTCTGTTGTTGATTGGACCAAGAGTCTAATTAAGTTGAATTGATTTGTACAAAATGCTTCTATTCATTTGGATTTAATCACAAACAGACTTTTACACGGTGCTTTGTTGATCAACCAGAGATAAAAGGGAATGGTGAAGCAAGGCCAGCCAAAACTAATATTTTTGATATATCAGGTCTAATGTTTATGGCACATGTTTAAAGGCTGCACATGAGCGTAACAACAGATAGGAATATACATGTGGGAAATTAACAATTTGAAATTGTATATTTCCATATACACAGTGATGATTGCATTACACAGAAGTTCAATTCAATTCATTGTATTTTTGTTTAGCCCTAAATCAAGGGCTAGAAATGTTTCTGTTTCACTGTAGTCTCAAACATTTAAGATCTTAATGGCAGTAAACTAAACAAAAATATCTATTTTCATTTGAAACAATGAAGGAATATATATTTGTTCAAATTTGATGCATTTTCTAAGAAGAACATGTCTCATTAATACAGGAGATGTTTCCTCTTCACATTTCCATGATTACACTTCATGATCAAATTACCGCTCACATTTCAGAGCATAATGAGACATCTGGAGCTGGCAAATGTGTGCACAGGGAATAACACGTCCACTCGATGACGTCACGTGACATTTCGTGAGTTTTTATCATTTTATGTCTGATTGTACTCAGATTTTGAAAATACTTTGTAATCTCAGTGCCACTCTCCTGGTAAGCTCAATAGATAAATACTTCTGGAATTAACCACGGCATTACATTCTTTCATTTCTAAGAGAGTCTTTGTGAAACTGTAAGTTGTAGCAGTAAACAGGATACATTTGTTTTGAATAGCTCAAAAGTCAAGCATCCACCAAATGACATTGTCTTTTAATGTTCAATGTTCATCTCTGATGCAGATAATGACGCCCTGGCACCAGGGATGGAGCCACCCATGGGTGCTGCAGCCGTCAGTGCAGATTTACAGCCACACTGTTGGTAAGTGTATGTGGTCTGTTTGTCCTTCAGCTTTATCTTTGTGTCCTCTGTGAGGCGTGAGCTTCATTAAACATTCATGTATCAACACTGGACATAAACAAGTTCTCTCAGATCTGTTGCTGTAGCGCTGCTGTTAAATATGTGTGTTCTATAAGCCCTCATTTAGTACATGTGACAAACAAGAAGCATGTTATTCACAGTCTTTAAACAGTGTATGGGATACACATTCGCTAACAAGGTGAGGAGTGATCAAATTAGACACACACAACTTGTGAGAAATGATGATGGATCATTCTGTGGATTTCTAAAACAGCACTTGTGTTGCCATAACAGAGTTGATGTGAATGACATGATTGTTTGAGTCAAAGGGTCATTGAAACCCACAACACTGATTAGTTGATTGAAAACAAGGAGATTTTATTAGATCAACTCCTCTTGAATGGCTGAATTGTAACTCTTTTTCTGCATGTACAAATATTGATTTGTAAGGAATAACATGAAACATTATAACACAAGAAAAATATATTTTTCATTAAGCCTATATCTGAACAATTTATTTACTAACACAGCAGCACACACCATCCATAAAGAGTGATCTGATTTAACAGTGATTGAGTTCCACTTCACTTTCATTTCCATCAAAGTGAAACAATGGTTCCCACCTCTGCACCTTCTCCACCGACTCCCACTGATGACTGCTGTCGTTGTGTCCTTGGGCAAGACACTTAACCCCACTTTGCCCAAAGCCCCCACTGAAAGATCAAGGCTATGCTCACACTCAGAGAGCAGCCGTCCTCCTGTGGACTCACCACCTGCAGAGGGTCAGTGAGGGGCTGGTGCTATGAGACTTGGGTGGCATCTCTGACTGCCACCCCCCGGACCCAGAAATGGATTAAAGGGTAGAAAATGGATGGATGGATGGATGAAACAATGGTGTAATGTCAAGTAAAAGTGATAGTGGAGAGAAGTAGAGTAAACCATCCCGCACGCTGAATGCTCCCAATGGCCTTTTCCACTGGTGATGGGAGCCCAGCGCTTAGCAACCTCTCAGACGCGCCAATCGTCATACCAACGGTCAACATCCCATTGGACTGAGAAAACTCCTCTCTGCACGAGGATCAGCCTGCGGGCATAAATAAAAACAATCACACAAGAGAGGAGACCTGCACATCGGAGCCAGAGGAGATCAGAGCTGCCAAAATGTTAGCAACACAAGGAAATAGTATAATCAGATAAATACCACCTACAAAAAGAATATTGTTTCAAAACTATTACAACTGGTGTACGTCATCTTTTTGTCCCATATTTACGTTGGTTTGTCCCAACAGGAAGACAAATTCTCAACATACTGTTTTCCTCTTTTAAAAAAAAACATCTTTAAGTTCTTGCAATTAACAATAGCTCAAGCCACTTTATGATCATGTTTTCTCACTGATGAAAATGGAAAATGGAAATATTTGTATTTCTGAATACAAATTCAAACAATATTTCTTATTGAAAGGCTGATAAACGTCATGATAAATTACAGGCAGACCCAAACATGCAGAACAAGGACTAGGACCAGGACCAGAACAGGGCATGGCAGGGTAGGACAATTATAATCAGACTCATGAGAGCAGGATGGGACCTGGACGGCAGTGGAGAGGAGTCGATTAATCAATTGTTACTTATAGAGACCTTTACAACACTCAAGGTGAACAAGGTGCTTTACAATAAAATCACATAAAATCCATTAAAACATTCATGCAGTAAAAAAATAAAAGTTAAAAGTCTGGGTCCAGCGACTGGAAGCGATCCAGAAGGACCGGTCTCCCCAGTGTTTGGACCCGGTCCTTGGTACTTCCAGGAGGAGCTGAGTTGAGGACCTCAAGGATCTGCCTGAGTCACAAACAGTCAAGAGCTCAAACAAGTACAGAGGGGCGAGACCATTGAGGGCTTTAAAAACAAATGTTAAAATCACTAAAACGCACTGGAGATTGTTAAAAAAGCAAGAAAGTACAAAAAAAACATCGAAAAGTCTCTCAGTTTGTGCTCAGCTTCACAGCGATAGTGCAATGGTCTGATCTGGAAACGGAGACAAGGGTCAGCGTGGTTTAAATGCTGCATCTGGTGATTGCTGGGATGGAGCTCAGCGGGTGAGTGTAATGAGGCAGTAGTGTAGGAGGAGGGGGGGGGGGGGGGGGGGGGGGGGGGTCGCAGCAGGAAGGGGATCACGACAGAGCCCCAGGGCATGTTGGAGGTCCCAGTTTAATGAAGCCAACAGGACGACATCATCACAAACATTACAGATGAAATCCTCTGGTGACAAAACCAGAACTACGCATAAAATGAGAGAACATAACAGTGAACACAAAAGAACACTGTTGTACACTGGGAACGGGTCAGACTTCACTTCTTCTTTCTGTACTGAATGTACTTTGCATTATGCACAATGTCCCATATGCATTATTTAAGTTTCTGTTTCTGTGAGATTTCTAGTTTCAGATCTCACGATGATGCTCTACATCTCTTTGTCTTGGCGACAAATCACGTATTTTGCATTCCTGTATTTATTATAATAATTTGGATAATTTATACAGTAATATATATATATATACAAGATTATACCTAAACATTATGTTGAACTAGTCAGTCACAAGTGAGTGATGCCGTCAGCACAGAGCGGTGGTTGGAGATGAATATTTTCATGTCAATGAAAATGGCAATACTTACTTTGTTTTTAATTCAGCATTTTCAGCAAGCCAGTGAAATATTCTAGGTAAAATGCTGGTTTTTTCAAACTGTCATAATGTAATTACATTGCATTTTTGTTGAGTAATCAATCACCTGGGATACATATTCACAGTTCAATGCCAACGTGTGGAACATTCCAGGGAATACAACAGCAACTGCTCAGAGCCCAGTGTCTGTAATACTCTCTCGGAAAGTCCTTTTTGAAGTATTTTCTGCTTATCTGTGATGTAATCCACTAGTGGCTTGTCACACGTGTGTTTTCTATTCTTCCTATCTCATGTTCCTTTTTTTTCCCTTTTTGATTTGGCGCTGTCAGATCATCCGCCCACTCCCATACTTACCACTCGGCCGAGCCAAACACTGCTGCTGTCACATACAGTAGAAGCTGAATAAAAAAAAAAACACATCTCTCTGAACAATTGGGACTTATATCTGAGCCGTCTATTCTCACAAAGGAACTCGCGAGAAGATACACAAAATATATGCTATGAAATAAATATGAGCTGGAGACTTTATCTTTATTCAAGCGCTGTAGCATTTCTTTCAAGTGAGAATCAGCTCGAAGGAGTCTCTGAAAAGTTTTCAACACATTTATATTTCAACTAACAAATATTTGTGTGTAAGAAAAAAAATAAAACTAGTTCCATAAGCAATCTTTTTAATTCAAACGAGACACACACACACACACAATGTATGCAGCAAATCTTACTGCAGGTGGTTATGCCAGAGTGAAGGACATATATATTGTTTTACATACTATACATGATACTATATGGTCAAAAATATCCATTCTTTCAAAGTAAATGCAGTTTATTTGAAGAAAAATTCCATTACATAAAAAAAAAAATTCAAAGGCAAGCACCAGTTAGACCCGCCCATTCTGACTCCACTGCTTCCTGATTGGACAGAATTAATTTCAAACCTTGATACACAGACCAGTCCACTTGCCATTGGTCTATTATCCTCCAGCAAATACAAACAAAAAATGTATTCTTATAAAATTGAAGTATAATTGAAGTTACAGTCACCACCTTTACACCCAGCTGAGAGAACTCTTTGATTTGCTCAATTCAAACTAAAGTTTCTAGTGAAAATAACATTAGGTTACATAAGAAATAGAATCCATTAAAAGTGTGACATCACGAGTCGCTTCTGGTCAAATGGAAGTATCCGTCCAAACATGTCAAAGTAATAACATCGCAAACATGTCAGAAGGTCCTGGGTTCGAATCCCGGTCAGGACAGGGCCTTTCTGAGTGGAGTTTTCATGTTCTCCCCGTGTCTGCGTAGGTTTCCTCCGGGTGCTCCGGTTTCCCCTACCACTAAATACATGCACAATAGGTATGAATGTAAATGTAAGAGTGAATGGATGGTGTTGATTAGGGCTGATGCGCCAGTGTGTTCGGCGACTCGCTTCTGTCATCACCGTGTGTGGAATGATTGGAACAATATCTGAACTCTGAACATAAAGCGTTTTGGTTGACCTTGGTCTGTAAAATGTGCTATATAAATAAACATTACTTACTTACTTACATACATTGCTAACCTATTATTGTCTGGTATAAAAACGTAACACTTTTAATTCTACTAAGAAGACAAGATGAATCTAAAGCAAAAGCAAAAAACCCAAATGAATCCTTTCTCTTCAAAAACACACCAATGCCAGAGTAGGATAACAACCTCAATTCAAGTCATTTTAAGCGTGACTATAGCGATCTTACATAAAGCTAAAATGACACTTGCACAAGAGAAAAACTTGGATAAGGGACCATAATCGCTGCACAAAGCCACCTCTGAGTTGAAATGTTATGGGACAAGCTGAGACCTCCAGTCGGCTCCTGCAGGCCTCTTCTTATCCTGCTCTTTTGCTGTTTTTGTGCTGACATCCTCCCAAACACTCAGGCCACACTCAGTTAAAGAGCCCATCCACAGAGACATCACTGCTGCACATGGAGAGGGCAGGATTGGGGGCAGCGCTGCACTGTCTCTAACACCGCAAAGAGAAAAGCTGATTTTGGGTTTGCTGAAATAGGCAAAAATACAGTGATTTTGGCTCCCGAGCAAAAAAAAATCAAATTACATTGAACGGCCCAGAGGAGAGTGGGGATCAGATATTGGTCTCTGGGAGGACTGTGATAATGTTCCCATGGATATTGCTTAATGGCAAATAAAATAAAATACAAAATATTCACCCTGGGTCTCATAAGTAATACTCACTTTAAAGTT